ATCATAAGTGAAAATGATAAGGAAAAGTTTAAAAAGAGCAAAACCAGGCAATAATAATGGTTTAGAATTAAATGAGTTACACTTCAAGTGATTTTCAAGGAAATTTGATATTTTAGATATGTGAAAAGTAAAAATAAACTCGAATTATCCTTAGTACAGTTTATGAATTTTGATGAAAGCATGTCAAAATTTCTATGGCATTTATACATTTCAATGGATAGGGGCTCCAGAGACAAATTCAAAATATAAACTAAAAGTTGTCCTATTAGAATAATAAATTACTATTGCCATAATAAAATAACATATAATAAGTGTCTATCTGACATCTCACTTTACAAATTATCACACAAAATAATTTGATAATATGAAATTTGAGACTTTATAAAATTCGGACACTATGGTTAGCTAAATACAGACATTAAACAAATACATAGTTACGGACAGTATCATCGAATATATAAAGGATAATTACATTTCTAAGACATATTCTGGATCAACTAATTTAAGATCACAGAAAGCAATTTTATTTTCCCATATCAATTCCAAAAAGCTTTATGGAAAATATCAGGAGATATATGTGATCACTTAAGGACAGGGATGGCCAGGGACCATGTGATTCTCATTACATCTGGTGATGTAACAACTGGCCAGATGTCACTGAACTGAAGTTTTCAGCATTTTTAAACACAGAAATTTTCCTTCGGGTGTGTATTCTTTATTTCTTTATACAAAAGTACTAAAGATAATATCATAGAACTTCAAAACAGACACATTTAAGAATGCTAATCAGATTAGTGTCATTAAAGAAAAACAAGTTAATTACTTTTTGTGGCATTTAGTCATATTGCAGTTTATAATATCTAAATGTTTCCTTCTGGTTCTATGTCTCCCTAGCCAGACTGGAAGTTTCTGGAAAGCAGGCCTCTTCCCTGTACCTAAAGTAGTCCCGTGGATTCTACCACCTCCATGTCTACAGTCATCTTCTTTCTAGCCCCATGAGCACTGTCCTGCTTTATCTCCTCTATAAATGATTGCCAACAGCATTTTTACTGTTCTCCAAAATGTTACAATATAGCTAGGGAGACATGGAAAACCAAATGGAAATATTAAAATAATATAAAATGTTATGCAAACATATAAAAATATAATATATAAAAATAACTGCTATTTTTCTCTTGAATTCTGACATTTTGTTTATAGCTCTCCTCCCATCTCTACCTATATTTTGACTTTGAATTATAATTATTAAACTGCACACACAGACTGCCTACACAGAGGGCTGGAGGGGCCAATGTTGCATGAAAATACAGGATCTTAAGTTTTGTTTTGTTTTGCTTTGCTTTCTGAAATTACAGTGGAGTACATGGAAGCTACAACAAAATGCAAAGTTTTAAGGTCTCCTGCGTAATTCATGTGGATGCACCAGGCTTTACACATGCCTAATAAAGCGTGAAAAAGTCTGATTACAAAGTGTGATGTTGCAGTGGGAAGAGAAGGAAACCTTCAGGTGAGCTAGAGAATTGCGGCAGGGGTGGGGTGGGGGGGCGGTGGTGGTGGTGGTGGTGACTATTTTCTTTTAGAAAAGCGGGGAGATTTTAGAGAAAAGAGGGAAAGCAGGGAGCAGCTGTTTAGGCCACAGTCCCCTGCCAGGACTGCAGGGATCTAAGTGTGAGCAGTGGGCTTAATCCAGAGATGAGCAGAGAAAAGGTGCTGAGTGGTCCAAGTCACAGGCCAGGAAAAAGAGGCTAAAGGAAAACAGGAATAAAATTCTTGTTTCGGGGTGGGGAGCACAGAAAAAGGGCTAGAAATGGTGACGGGGTTATCTGACTTTTGGGTACTTGAAGACTGGACAGCCTTGAAGAACAAGGTTAGGAAGGGATGCTATTAAAGATAAAGGAATTACTTACAATGGGGCTTCTTAAACTTTAATGCACAGAAGAATCATATGGGGATATTGTTAAAATGCAGATTCTAAATCACAAAGGCTGGGGTAGAGCCCAAAAACCTGCATTTCTGAAAAGCTTCTAGGTAAAGCTTTGCAGCTTTGAGTGGCAAGGTTTTGCAATATTAAACATGAACACTTAAAACATTTTTAGCCGGGTGCGGTGGTTCACGCCTATAATGCCAGCATTTTGGGAGGCCGAGGTGGGTGGATCACGAGGTCAAGAGATTGAGACCATCCTGGTCAACCCCGTCCCTACTAAAAATACAAAAATTAGCTGGGCATGGTGGTGCACGCCTGTATTCCCAGCTACTCGGGAGGCTGAGGCAGGAGAATTGCTTGAACCCAGGAGGCGGAGGTTGCGAGGAGCCATTGCACTCCAGCCTGGGTAACAAGAGCGAAACTCCATCTCAAAAAACAAAACAAAACAAAACATTTTTATACGCTGGGTATGATGGCTCACACCTGTAATCCCAGCACCTTGGGAGGCCGATACAGGTGGATTGCTTGAGCTCAGGAGTTTGAGACCAACCTAGGTAATATGACAAAACACTCTCTCTACGAAAAATACAAAAATTAGCTGGGCATGGTGATGTGTACCTGTAGTACCAGCTACTTGGAGCTGAGGTGGGATCGCTTGAGTCTGGGAAGTGGAGGTTGCAATGAGCTGAGATGGTACCACTGCACTCCAGCCTGGACAACAGAGCAAGCAAAAACCACCACCAACAAAACAAACTAAAACCATTTTTTATAAAATAAATCAGTCAATGAATTTGTGCTTCCCAGTATACATATCTTCTGTGGGTTTATCAGAGACTTATGCATCAAATATCAAAGATAGTTACAAAATTATCTTCCCTTTTACCCTTAGTTAATGAATGGCAATGGAGAGAGAATCCACAGTGCTCCAGTTCACACCAATAATATATTTGAGAGCATAATCATTGTTACAAGTCTACTTTAATAATGAGATAACTACTTTTGTTATTTACAGCAACACATTTGGCCATTAACATGTCCAAGAAAACACCCTGTGATGACAGAAATGTTCTATATTTGGATGTCCAATATGATAGCCACTAACCACTTGTGGCTACTGAGCATTTGAAACATGGCTAGTATACCTAAGGAATAAACAGCCACATACAGCTAGTGGTTACCATGATCATCAATATCTGCTAGCATCACCCAAAGACAACCAGATGCAATTCACTTCCAGATTGAAGTAGTCTTCCTACCAAGGCTCTAGATTTAGCAACCAATTTACAAAACAGACTCCAGATGTCCCCAGACCCTGCTCTAAAAATTGGTGGTATAAGGCAGCTTATGTACCTGAGGCCCACAAAAGGCAGCTGATAACAGCCAAGGAATTCAATTCTTTATCTAAAAGTAGGATTCTCCTGTTAAATCATTCTCAAAAGTAGTAATGACTTGAAAGTGTATCCCACCAAATATCCCACCATTGAGAAATTATGTATAACACACACACACACACACACACACACACACACACACACACACAGCCATGCACACAGAATTTTGAAGGAGAGGATGATATGGGTTTGACCTCGAGCCATGCCTTTACTACTGTGTAACCTCTGGGACCTCTCTGATCTTGTTTGCAAGTCACTTTGTAAATTGGAGTTAATAATAATACCTACTGGCCAAGGGTGTTAGGAAGGTAAGTTCCTGAAGGGCAATGTACTTTTTAAATGTAATCCTGTTGTAATCCTATACAATGGTTAATTAGTAGTCATTAAAAGAGAAGGCAATGCCATGCTTGAAGCGAAATCCAAGGAACCAACCTATAATCTTTTGTTGTACCAAATTTGTATTGCATGTGGTCTTGGATTCTTTTATGACGGGTATTTCAATCCTTCATATTTGTTGTAGTGGGATATAACCTTTAAAGAATGAGCATTCTAAAGCCATTTGGAAGAATAATGGTAAGTGCTTTATTTAGCAGTGTAGGGTCTGGTAAGCATCCTCCCTGCTAAGATTATACAGAAAATAAAGGAAATTGCAGACTGCTCATTTCCCTTGTACTCATCCTAATCTTGTGGAAACTTCCTGTAAAAGGCAGTTATAGCATTAAAAGTAAACTGATTTCACACTCACCGGATACTACCAAGCCAACAATTGCAGTCCTTAGGGATAAAAGGAAAATAGCATACTTATCCTTTATACTTTGTATTAGTTTGGAAGAACATGGAAATCCTAGTGATGGAGCAGCAGACTCATGCCAGAGGCAAGGAAACTATTTAGAAACATGGTTACCACTTAGTAATTCCACTGAGAGGCAGGGCTCATTAGCCCTGAGACTGGTTAAACTAAAAAAAAAAAACAACAACAAAAAACATTTATTAAACAAAGTACACCATGAAAGTAGGGAGCTTCCATTGATCTATGCATACATTAACTCGTTTTAAAATACAAAGTTTTAATTACATCTGCTAAGGAGTAATGTTAAGGGTAATTTTAGAAATGGAAATGTGCACTTGTATTTTATGTACTTTTAGAAACTCACATGTTGGCCTGGTTGTCTTTTGGCTTCTCAAGAATACAAATATCTGCTGAGAGCTTATAGTACAAGGCACAGTGTATGTGAAATGCTAAACTGCAGTAGTATTAAATCCCAATGGGAAGCCAGAGAGGATTCCTGATTTCTACTCCAGTGTGAGTCAGTACAGCTTCCTTTTTATACATAATCCAGGCCTTGGCATAGTGTTTCACCTAAAAAGCATCTATTACTTAAAACCACTGCTAAAAAGGATGCCAAAAATATGAAGGGCAGCCTCTACCTTCCAGTCACGAAAATTTAACTTGGAAAACAAATATAAACTCATAAAAAATGAATCAGCAATAATAATAATAATAATAATTAGCAACACAAGTGTAAACAGCAAAGGGAAAAATAAAAGAATCTGAGAAGACCAAGTCTGAATTAATAAGAAAAATGATTACTATGGCCTGAGCAATGTGAAAAAAAGAAAAGAAACTGATTTGGAGAAGGGCATGTCATCTGCCAGCGTCTCAGTGAGGACAGCCTACATTTTGCTGTCCTTGTGAAGAAACCCTGGTCTGATACCTACAAGGAACTCAGAATCCACTTGTGCCTTTCTTAACTTGGATCAGATCCTATACTGGCAATTACTTGGCAATTGTGCTCCTGTTCCTCCCTCTTTGGCCCAATTATGCTATTGATAATTAATTACTTCTAACAGGTCATCAAATGGTTGTGACTAATTCCTAAAGCTGAGCACAATAATACAGATAGTTGTGATAACCGGTTTTGTGACTAGCTTCCTTCCCACAGGTCCACCTACAAAACACAACTGAGCATATATAAGTATTTCTTTTCTTGCTGAGCCCTAATGTGGCCATGGAATTCTTCTTGACTAGTACTAACTGAATGGAGTTGGCACTTAAGACAGAACTGTAATCTGTATTTAGATTCTCACATAGCATTTCAAGTTTGGCTGGATCTACCTTTCTGAACTGAACTAGCCCTCTGGCCTTGATCAGTATCTATCTAAGCTTATGATATACCATGGGCTACCCTTTTCTGTGTTGCTGGAACACAGCTTTCAATCAGGGATGTGCTGGGGGACGGGATGACAAAAATGGTTGCAAGGAAATGGGGAGTAGACAATGAAGGACTAAAAAGGGCCAAGTACCTAGCATACTTACAAAAGCACGGATGGCCCCATTATAGACCTAGTAATCACAATTTCTGAGCTGAGGTCTAGGAATCTGCACTTTAAGTAAGTACTTGCAGTGTATTTTTAAAAAATTGTTATAGAACATTTTAAATTATAAAATAGTAAACAGAATGTGTTCATCATTAATCTATAATCAATCTTGTTTCATCTATATCCTTACTCATTCTTCCTATGCCTCACCCCAGTGGATTATTCTGAAGCATAACATTTCATCTCTAAATATTTTAGGGTACATATTTCTGAATGGTAAGGACTTAAAGAAAACACAGCCATAAACCAATACTTAAAAAAGAATTCCTTGTTATCATCAAATCTCCAGTTAATGTTCAAATTTCTCCCGTTGTCCCAAATTTAAAAATATTTGTTCAAGTCATGATCCAAATAAGGCCTCACACATTGTCTTTGGTTACCATGCCTCTTCACCTCCTAAGGTCCAGACACCCAGATAGATCAGTTGAGGCCTCTATAGAGCCGCCAGTGATTGACAGACTAGAAGATCTCTTGGCTCTAAGCAGTAGCACCATTTCTGACTGCTTCAGCATAGAAGACTCTGAGCTCTGCCAAACTAAAGCAATTAAAGAAAAAATGTTGGTAAGATCTTTAGCAACTGGGTCAGAGAATGGGTACAAAAGTGTCCTAGATATGGCATGGAACCACCAAAGTCTGAATGGTTTGGAGACTATGTCTTGCTTATGGAGTTGAGAGCAATCTTTAAAGCATTAATTTGGGCTATTGGTCATATCTTGCTCCTTTTATGTAAGTAATGTGTGTGGAAGTAGCCAGCACAGTGCCTGGCTCATGATGACCAAGATGGTTTTCATATCTTCTCCCAAAGACTGTACTGGCAATTTCCTTGATACACTAGAACCTCGAACAGATGCAAATCTTCAAAAGAGAAAGGCCTTTGCAAATGACCAACTTTCCTTGTATTTACTTAATCATAATAATTGTGATGATTTCATTTATTGGTGGCTTACTGAGGACCAGGTCATGTGTCTAGCAACTGACAGTTATTTGTTGAATGAATGAACACGAATACTGGATGCTTTACATTTAATCCTCAAAACACTTGCCACTATTTTACCATGGGGTTTCTTACTATCTCTGACAAAATAATAGTAAGAGCTAAGACTTAATAGAGTTCTTACTGTGAATTCTTAATCTGTTCTAAGTAACTATGTATATTATTATCTCGTTCATCAGCGCAACAGCTCTATGAGTTAGGTACTATTATCCCCATTTTATGCAGGCCCAGAGTTTTAGTAACTTGCATAAGGACACAGATTATACCTGATGGGACTTGATTGAAACTTGAGCAGTCTAACTGGTTAACAGTAGTCCTGGAAGGGGAAGAGGACAGTTATCAACACTCTCACGTATAGGTTCTTCACAAGAATAAGTTCAAAAAGGCAGGTGTAGAGCTCATGTCTAGTCTAGATCGCCGTTTCTCATCATCAACATTGCCCCTTTCTTTCTCGGAGTAAGGACAATGTCGCTGATGAGGCAGGAAGCAAGTTACATAATCAGACCTCAGAAATCAATCGGGTGGTTTTGGGGCACACTGACTGGTTTAGCGCCTTTGTTCATTCGTTGAACATTTATTAAGCACCTGCTACATGCAAAACACTGTTATCAGTGCACTACTGTGCACGCTCATTCTCAGAACAACAATCCTGCGTTTCCTAGAGGGATGGCAGAAGAGTGCTGCCTTGTTGCGAGGTTCTCTCAACTTCATTTCTTCCTCGACAATTGTTCTCTTCAATGTGGCACCGGCGGCAACCTTGATTCTTAGCTCGCACAAACCTGAGAAGGAAGAGAAAAACATTGCACGCAGGGCTAGACTTAAATCCGGGAAGATGCATCAGGAACTTGGGAGCGCTGGGGATTCAGTCACCTAGGCCGGTTCATGTAAAGGCTGGTTTTCTAAATAGAGAAGAGATAATAGAATTTGCAGAGCCAGGAGCTCTGACTCCTGTGGCTGGGCTGACCTTAGGCTCCAGCCCACAACCCCAGTAGATTTCTGTGCAAAAACCTTTTGAGATGAATGCATACATTGTCCTCTAAAAATGCATTCATGACAGCTGTCTATCCAATCGGTCCGCCTCCGTTCGGAGCAGTTCGTGCCATAGAAGCATCTCCTGCGGTATAGTTATGCAACCTCACTCGCAGCGGGAGTTATTTCCTCCGTTCTGGCTGCGCCAGATTCATGTAACACGCCTACCCTGGGCTTCAATGGAAGTCGTTCTCCATTAACAATCACTCCAGCTTTCGGAGATGAATGCCCTGACAGCATACCCCTTACGCAGTAAGAATCCAGGCAGGGAGGCGAGGTGTTAAAACACACACACACACGCGTGCATGCAGCTAGGGAACTGCAGCAATGCAACCCGGGGGACGGCAGGAGGAGCTCTTTTTGCACAGTCCCTGCTTCTAACCCCCACTAACTAAAGATGAACTCATGCCAGTTCCATTCTTTGCTCTGCAAGGACACACACACACACACACACACACACACACACGGCAGAAGAGAGTAGTCTCCAGATTTCCCCTCTGAGCACACTGTCTTTCTAGCCTCTTCCTTCAAGCAACCCGGATATTCCAAGCCGAGTAACGGGGAGTAACGCGCCACAACAATGCAACCTCCCATGCAGCTCCTCTCGCAGCTCCCACCCCCCCCCCCCTTCGCGGCGGGCCCAGAGGTTGGAGGGCGCGCACGCACACCAAGCACAGTCCAGGAAGGATATCCCCCCGCCCCCCCCCCCCCCCCTTTCCCCGCTAAGTGGCTCGACTACGATTTGGGAAATGAAGGGAGGAGGGAACTACTTTCCTGAAACTTGCTATGCTGCACACGACTTCGAGTTGCAGTGATTCGCGCGGAGGCCGCGGCTTTTAGTCTTACCCACACACCCTCACGGCCCGGGCACCCCACTCGGCAGCCCCACCCCGTGCCCGGTCTGGCCACCGAGGGAAGCGGGCGGCCGGGAGAAGTCGCGAGGGACTACTTCGCCTCCTTCTCTCGCGGGCGCCCCCGGTTCGGGCAGCGGCGGCGGAAGGAGCGGGCGGCGTGAGCGCTTCCGCCGCCCCCCTAGCGGCTCTCCTCTCTCGGGCGTGAGGAGCTGGCCCGCCGAGCTGCTGGTGGGCACCGGCTGGCGAGGGACCTGCGGCCGCTCTTCTTTCCCGCCGCCTCTCGGGATCCTGCCCCCCGACCCCGGGCCCGTCTGCTCGTCTCCGGCCGGGTGGGAGCGATCGGCTCGCCTGCCTCTCGCCTCACACGCTCCCCGCCGCCCCCTCCTCCCCCCTCAGGAGGAGTCCCGGCTGGAGCGTGTCTGGAGGAATCCGCCGCCGCGGGGCCCCTCGCCCGGCTGTGCCCGCGCCTGAGGACCGACCCAGGCGTCGCCGGGGGTTGAGGGGCCGCCGGCGGCGAGGCGGGAGATGGTGGGGTGGGCTCCGGCAGGACCGCGCCGCCGCTGCCCGGAGCCTGGGCTCGGCAACCCCCCGCCGGCCCCCACCAAGTGGAGCTCTGCTTCCTCCTCGCCGCATCCCTGAGGGAAGCGCCGCCTCTGCTCCCGGGTTCTCTGCCTGCCGGCTCCTTCCTGGCCGGACCCCGCTGCGCTCCACCCCAGTGGCCCGAGGAGCCGCTCTCCAGTCAGCCTTTGCAGCCCCCTGTCTTTTTCCCTTTCCACCGGGCCTCCTCGGATCCCTTGTTGGGCGCTGAGGCAGGGGAAGAGGCTGGGGTCGCCACGGCGGAGGTTGCTGCCGCCACCCCCCTGCGGGGGTGGCCGGGGTTCCCGGCTGGGGGGGCACCGCTCTGGGTGAGGCATCCACCATGGTGAGGCCCCTGTGCCGCTGCCCCCGCGCCCCCCCGGCCGCCGCTGCCGCCTGCCCCTCGGTGCTGCTGCTGCTCCCCCGCCTGCTGTTGCTCCTCCATCTCCAGATCGGATCACGGTGAGGGAAAGATGAGCGAGGAGACGGCGACTTCTGACAACGAGTAAGCGCCTCATTGATCTCGATTGCTAATGTCCCTCCCCCAGTCCGCCTTCGGCTCTCCCCCAGAGCCCCCCGAGACTTGGGTGTCGGAAAGCTTGGGACCCTAGAGAGTTCGGTGCATCTTGTTCCGGAGATAACTGATTTCTTTAGCCATTTTTAGTGGCAGCACCCCTCCCCACCCTCCCCCATTTAGTTGCTTTCTTTTGGGGAAGGGTATTAAGTGTTGGCAGAGGATGGCAATTGTACGTCCATGAAATGGAATAATGTGGATGGATGGAAGTGGAGTAGAAACTACCCCTTTGCCATTTGACCCGTGTCCCCTCCCTTTTCACTCACATACCAGTCACCATACCTTCAGTATCCATCCTGCTTCCTTTATAGCTTGTTTCACTTGGAAACTAATGTGTGGGAGCACCTCCTGTAGCAAACTGCTCTTGAATCTTAATTCGATGAGTCAGTGACTCTTAAATACCGTTTAAGCCTTCACCCTCTCCCCCTCCCCCTTTTAAACTTACGACCTATAGATTCTTGTAAAAATAGGGTTAGGGAAACATTTTAAGAATTTAGTAGGATTAAGGACACCTGGAGTGTGGGAGATGTTGAGCTAGTTTACCTTTGTGAATACTGGACGTGTCTTCTGGAACGGAGAAGAATTTTGAATGCTAATTTTTACCTTTCAGCTATGTTTACGTTGATTTAACGGAATTTACGTTGCTGAATATGTTGGTGATTTCATCAGCTTCTAGAGCATTCCGGTTTAAGTTTTTGTCTATTTGGGCTTTCTCCTTGCTTTCCAAACGAAATACTTCGTCTTTTAAACGTTTATCTTTAACCTAACAGCTGCGTGGAGAAATAATGGTTGGCAACACTTTTGTATTGAGAAGGGATTTAATTCCAAGCAGAATATTAGTATCCGTTTTCTTGTAATTAAGTTCAACTTTTGTTTATCTTTAGTGGGTTGGAAAGAGTTAAATGAATTAGGGCTTAGTCCTTTGCATGCATTCCTTTAAATACAGTGTACTACTGAAGTCAGACCTTTTTGAAAGAACTTTATAAAGCCTAGTGCCGAGTCCTGTTTAACATAAAATAGCTAAAGAAAGGCCAAGCAACGTTTCCTACCCCCTTGCTCCCTCCCCACCCCAAAACACACGCTTCTGCTGAGCGGGTGTAGAAGGAGGTACTTTGCTGCAGTGTCAGTGCAGTGTAGAAGCAGAAGTGGCAGCCATGTTCTCTCTCTTTTTGTGAATCGCCCTCATTTGCATAGCACACTCTTCATTCATAAAAAAAATAATTAAACAGCCATCACCTTGGACATCTTGAAAGGATTTCCCAAGAAAAAAAATTCGCAGTTTGTTTGTCTGCGTGTAGATTTTTGAGTTCAGAAGGTAAGAAGAATGTGAAATTTTAGGTCACATTTAAAAAACATAGGCACACACAAACAACTACCCCTGTTCTGAGACTGTTGACACAGTTATGTGGGAAATATCAGTTCGGGGAGGTGCTGGGATCACGTGATCGCCTCCATTCATAAAATACCTGGCTGTCCATTCACAGTGCAGTACAGTGTCTCCCTGCCTTCTGCAGATTAGACCTGCTTTGAGGGAGATCAAGAAATCTATCTCAGATAATGGTTCTTTAGGATAAAAAGTGCTAAAAATGCTGAACGGAATGACGATAACTTTTATTGGTATCTTTCAAACAAATAGTTTGGATCAAAAATGTTAAGTTTTCTTTTAGAGATGGGAAAAGATTTCTTACCAGCTTAATTTTTTTCTTAAAGTAGTGAATATCTTCTAGTTTCCTTGTTGCAGCTAATAAAACAGATGGTGGAATGTGAATTAACACAAGCAAAATATATTTTTTCTAAATGGCCATTTTAAAAATACTTGCCATAAATAAATTGACAAAGCAGGTTTTTTCGTATAGTGATAGTGCATTCTACTGCTGCTGCAGTAAATGAGAAAATACTCTCAATGATTTAATACCCAAGAAGTTGGTATTTCAAACACCAAATCGCAATCTTCAGTGGGAGGATTGCTTTAAACATTCTTTTTAAAATCCAGATGTACTTACTATGGGACAGCTTGGAAATTATCTCACTCACTCAGACTTTTAAAATCGTTTTTTCACAGAAATGTATCCTGCTTTATTAATTAATGCATTATTCCCTAGGAGCTTTGTAGTCCTATTAGTTTGGGTAGGGCAATACTAATAAGCATAATATTTTGGTTAACTCTTCATAGGATCAAAATCTTGGGGATTTTACTGTAAAAAGTCTTTTATATTAGAAAATAATGTGTTCTTCTGATAATCAGTTTTACTAGAGCCAGCACTGTTTGCTTGTGCATTAGATAAACTACAAAGAGTGAACTTATTTGAAATGTAGCTTTTAATATGGTAATTTGTTTTTCATCTTTAATAGGTGAACTAATGTTTTGAAATGGCAATTTATTATTTATAATCATATATTGTGAAGAAAGATATGTATCATGGCAGAAACGATTAAGGCCTTAGTACAGTTTAAAACTGCCCTGTAATATGGATTTTATTTGGGCCTTACATTTTTTTTCCTTTTCTTTTCTCTTTTTTAAAAGTCATTGCTCGTAGGGATTTAATTATACAAAGGACTATTCTTAACATTTTTTTAGTTTCTTTTTCACCTGATTTCAACCTTCAAGAAAAGTGAAAATCCCCAGTTTCTTGGGAAACCATTAACCTTTTCTAGATAGCTATTGCGGTAAAATCCAGTAAGGCTTCATTCTGAAATCCTCTAGTACATGCTCTATTATTTGAAAGTAAAGCTCTGTGTAGTGAAATGGATAACTTCTAGGTTGATAGTGAGAATATATTTAATCAAGAATTAGTGGTAGATCTACTATATTTAAGGGTTTGCTTTAGTGCCAAACCCAATAAGGAAGAAATAAATTAGACTAGAATAAAGCATTTCTTAGATTGTTTCACATTTACATTTAAAAATCATACTTCTCAAAAATATTAAATAAATGTACTCTAGAGCAAAAGACTTGTGTTGTAAATAGTAGAGGGAATAGCCACATGTATGTTTGTTTTGTAGGTAATTTGTAGAGAGTGTTTAACATTCCAGTCAAATGTTTGTGATAGATACAACCGGACCATATTTTACATTGAATTAGTCTTCTAAATAGAGTTTTAAACATTTAGAGGCACATTACATAATACTAAACAGTCTTTGTCCTTTGATATTGAGTGTATATAACACTACATGTACTTTTGTTAATTTGGCCAAAACATTTGGAGAAGTGAAGTAGCTAAAATGTAAGCATTTGGCTTATTAGGCTCACATTAGCCAGAAACACTTGTTGTGTCAGTATTAGGCTTTCTAATAGCAAGTTGGGATTGTATTATATTTTGGAATTACGTTAGAATTAGACCACTTATGATAAACTTGCTGTGGTGTAATCTGAGTTTGAACTATGTTTCATAAATAGGAAGTAAATTTTTTGTGGTTATATTATTCAGTGCCTCATAAGAATTAAACCCAGTGGTGAGTTAAGTTTGACGATACGTGTAAATAAACATATGTTCACCCCATACATTTTGCATACGTTGTATATGTATGTACACACACACATAATTGGAAATTGGAAAACATTCTAGAAACAAATGGAAGCATTGGAAAGCTGTGTAATATTAAGCCACCTAATGTTTATTTATATAGATGTGGTGTATATGTAATATAAAAATTTGTTATTCAATTGGCCTATGTAAAAATCAGCTAAATGACTTCGTAGTTGCTTCAACATAATTTCCCTCTGCTTTCGCACTTAAAAGTTTATGATCATGAATTACATATTTTTAACACATTATGACACCATGCCTAGAATTACTCTCCTTACAAAACTTGTAAATTCTTCATTTTTCCCCAGAAGACCATCTCTCTTGTCCTCTTTCAACACTTTCCCTCTGTATTGCCTCAGTACTTCGTACATATGTATATCAGTTTTAAAATTATATAATATTGTGATAACTTATTTCTATGACTGCCATTATGTAATCCCCCACTTTTGTTTATATGCCTAGCACAGTCCTTGATGGTAAATGCTCTACAAATGTAGTTGGATTAATGGAGCTATATTACCTCATTTTTTTGTTTTCTCTGAATATATGCATTTGAGATCACTAGCTGTGTTAGAAAAATAGGTTGAAAAATAGTATGGGAGAAGTAAATTATTACCTGTTTAAGAAGGCTCACCTAACTATTTTTTTTAAGAAAAGACTAAAATTGGCCTCAGTTTTGACATGTTGTGTTTCTGCAAGTTTGAGAAATAACTTAGATCAGGCTTCAAACTATCTGTTGTCATGTTTGGATATGCTTGGCCTGTGAGTTACATGATGTGTCTGAAGACCCGTGTTATAGCCACAAGGAGGTGGACATTTGTGTCTGTCTTTTTTGGCATAGGAAGCTCAAAATTTAAGAATACATATCTCCAGCTGTTTATCAATTTTAAGTTCTTTAAATTGTTCTCCCTTTCCCCCATGGTTCCACATTAGTGCCAAGGGTGAGCAATTGATTAGGGATAAAGAAGTGAAACTGATCAGGAAAGGGTAAACAGCAGCAGATTCCATGATTTTAAAATGCAGCTGTTGGTGACTGAGAAGTGCCTAAGGGAAAAGTGTAACAATCTAGCCTTTTCTGTGGAGTTGTATAACTTGAACTTGACTAGTCTTACTCAGTTTGGGGAAATGATTGGTAAAGACAAGTCAGCTTTTCTTCTCCATCTTTCAGTAGGAACTGGAATGGCATTAAAAATGCCAGTTTAATAAATGCTTCACTCCATGTAAGACTCGTAGTTTCTTTCAGATAATGTACAAAATGATTTCTAAAATGAATAATAATTTATTTGTAA